GATTGATTGTGTCGAATGCTTTCTTGAGATCCAGAAATACTCCAGCTGCATACTGTTTCAATCAATCAAAAATCCTTAATTACAGAAAATAAAACATTTAAAATACACAAACCTCGTGAGCTGACATCCAGGAGGTGCTAAATAGTCCTTTGTGGCCTTATTGCCTTATCTTCCACCTTCTTTGTCAATTATTTCCACTCTTTAAACTATATTTTCTCCATGTGTGGAGCTAACTGTGAGCTGCAGCATGCAGACACCATGTGCGCTAGCAAAAGAAAAGTGGCTGGGTGGAGACCTGAGCGATGCACTGGATTTGTCAGCCTACCACACCATATGTATAAGAATTTGAGCCCTTCTTGAACTAATCTTAAAAATAAATAAATACATATTAATATTAATACTACTCGTACCACTAATACTACTAATAAAATTATAAAAGCGATGAAACACTGTGGAGCATGACAATGCAAAGTGATAAAGAAATCCAGACCAACAGACATTTCTATCCCTACTGAAAGAAACATTCACTCTGAATATTAGAGAAAAACTCTTCAAATATAAAGACCTTGAAATACAAATTAAGAAAATGCCCAACAAGAAAATTACAAAAGTACCAGTGATGTTAAATTCTCTTTGTTTGGTCAAGGATGGTATGAAAAAATTACACCAACAAAATCCCTGGTAATATCAGGATAAAAAACCTCCAGCTCCTCCTCTACTTGATCCATCGAGTGAACTATTGTGCTCTCATGGTCCTGGCTTTTAAGGGATAGATTTGTAATACTACTGCTACTACTACCACTACTACTACCACTACTACTACTGATAATAATAATAATAATAATAATAATAATAATAATAATAATAATAATAATAATAATAATAATAATAATAATAATAATAATAAAAAAGAAGAAGCAGAAGAAGAAGCAGAAGAAGCAGAAGAAGAATGGGCATTTTGTTTCAAAACAAAGCCTTAAGGAATGAAAATCTACTCGGCGGAACCTTTCTCAGCACGGAGAAAGCGGAAGCGACTTAAATGTGTGTCACACGGAGCGGAAGTAGTTAGTTGAAGTCACATTGAAGACGGAACCTCGGGTCATAGTAATACTAGGTAACCCAACTCTTTCTTTAATTAAACGAAGTTGTTATAAACATGCCACCAAGTAGTGAAAGGCAGAAAAATTATATCCTTAGCTTTTAATATTTGAGCGTTTTGGCGGCTCTCTCGTCCAAAGTGGAACTGCTGGTTAACGCGCCTGTTTAGCCATGATGAGCCAGTTGGCAATTACATAATTCTTTAATTTCCTTCGGTCTCTGTTATTTCATTTATTTATTTATTTACTTACCATCTTACCGTTTGGACTTTTTATTTTCATTTTTAAATCACCCGCTGTTGGGCGCCTGATTATCCGCTGATTTAAACCTGGAGGGAGGTTAGCATCCACTATTTCTGGGTTTTGATAACAGTCATTATATAAGCCTTTCACAGTGTCCCAGCACTTAGGGTAACTCTTAAAGTAGAGATGGCTAAAGGCAGTTTTCACGCAGCTTTACTAGCCAAAACATTAATTACTGGAAACATAATTTGCTACAGTGGAAACCAGTGAGACCTACAGGTTAAGAACCTGAGAACAGCCAGTTCCCAGCTCAAGGGTCAAAATGTTTCACATTTTTGCAGTGAAATCCAATTCAAATTTTAACATCCGGTAACATATATTAAAAAGGTATTATTAATCTTTTTTTTCTGCGTTATTTTATGCATGTGACGCCAAATAGTTATTTTACTGTATTTATGTGTGAGTGTAATGGCAGAGGAAAACTAAATTTGTTTTGTTAGTTCCATGTATGAACTTAATAGATAAAGTGATTCTGAAGTGCTTTTACCTAATATTTCTATGGTTGGAGAACTAAAACAAATGTTTGTTGTTGTTGTTGTTTTTATCTCTGGAACAAGTCACAAAATTAGTAAACAAGAAAAGGGCCAGAAAATAGTTGGCATTACTCTCAGCATTCTTTCATAAGCATAAATCAGCTACTCTGCATCTAGAATAACATAATATTCATCTGCAGCAATTTGAACAAAATTTTCTATGAAATGTGATATATTAGACAGCTTGGTTGGACAAGACAGTTTACATAAAGTTAAATGTTGGGGTTTTTTTGTGGGGCTCAGGTGCCTCTATCAGTCTTCATCAGCAGCGAGTTTTGCTGAAAACTCTGGAACCTAAAATCTCGGTCAGATGAACGTAGACTTCATTCAGCAACCCGCAATCTTTGCAGATGGCAAGAAACCGCCAAAAGGCTGAAATTACAAATTTTCACTAGGTGGCTGGCACATGGATAAGTAACCAGTAGTTGCACTGTTACCAGGGGGTCACAGTCTAGTCTCTAGGCATGTGTGACTGGTGCTTTAGTGAACCCTGTTTTATAGACTAAATAGTAGGGCAGGGCGATATGGTCAAAAATATATATCACGATATATATTTGAAAATTTGCGATAACAATATAACTGATGATATAATTTCTGCAAGACAAAATACAACTCCACAACTTTACTAGTTTTTAACTCTCAGTGATGCCGCAGTGTTCGTTTGATTTTGGGACCTGAAAGGTGTCGGAGTTTTGGACCCAGTTTTGGATCACTCCGCAAGGCTCCTGACTACGGCAGCCGTAATGCTCCGGCAATCCATCAAGCGGTGGGCTTACCAAAGCCACACTAAAACATTTTTTGATAGATTTCTGTGCACCACATAAAATTGGTTCGAGGTCAGTAAGCACAACCAGAATTCATACATAAGGCACACTGTTGATTTTTGTTAAAATTAAAGGATTTTAAGTGCGCCTTATAGTGTGTAAAATACGTCATACAGAAGAAAAGAATATATCGCGATATATATCGTTACCCCGCATGCTTCATATACCGTGATATGGATTTTAGGCCATATCGTCCAGCCCTAGTCTGAAGTTACTGTTACATTACTAGTTTGATTGCTGTGACAGAGCAGAGTAAGACCATACTTTGTCTTTTTTTATTGCCACAGGACCAGGGACCAGTGAACTCATTCCTGATGACCTTGTTTGGATAACCACTGACAATGTTTGCCTCAAAGATCATCCCTCGTCTCAGCCTATTACACAAAGCAACTTGTGAGTAAGAACAAATAGCCAAATATCTGTCTGCCTACATTCAATACTATGTTTTCTATTTCATTAAAATCTGACTTTTTTTCTTCCCCTTAATGACAAGGTGCACTTCAAGCTTATGGAGAAACTTTGAATGGATGTCTACAACCAGCTGCTTCTGCTTACTGCTCTTCACGTCATCAAAAACTGAGAAACTACTCAACAGCGGCAGACAACAGGTCTCCTCCGCGATGGGTCCAGCTTGAGCCGGAGCTGGACGAGGCTCTCATACCACGTAAACTGTCAGTAAGTCCCCTGGAGAGCTGGCTCTCACTACGCTACTCCCTCCCTCCGCTGCTGGAGTCCACTCAGCCACAGGAGGATGTAGAGCTGCTGGAGGAGAAGGTGCTGCCGCCTATCTCCGTCCCCGTTTTGGAAGACGGGGAGGGTACAGTAACACCACTCAGATGTAAGAATGTTCTAGAGATACGGCGGCGGAAGATGAACCGGCATAAATACAAGAAGCTGCAAAAACGGACTAAGTTCTTGAGAAAGAGGGTGCTGGAGGGCCGAGGAAAGAAGAAGCAGGTGGGACTTTTCTTTCACATCTATCAGACCATTTCTTTTTTTCCCACTATGATGTCTTGAAGTTTGATAATGAAACGGTAATGATAAAAAAATGCAATCATTGTTTTATTCCTTCCAATTCATCATTGTGTGTCTGATGTGCACTAGTTACAGTGTTCCAAAGCTAGATGAATATAAAACAGCCAGCTTTGTGTCTTTATCATATACAGAAACGCTTTGAGGAGGATCTGAAGAAGATTTGGATGCGAGCTGGACTGAAGAAGGCTCCAGAGGGATGGAGCACACCTAAGATCTTCATTAAACAGCATGGAAACAGAAGGAACTGAAAAATTCTGATTAAAGTTTGCGTCCCAACGTTTACCCTGGATGACTCTCCACACATCACACTGTTCTAACAATCAACCTGCCGTGTGTGCTTTTCACTTTAATTAAAGCATATTTGAGTGATGAGCTAAATAATGGTGTAGATAGTCTAATAAAGAACTCCCTCTGTGAAGCTCAAGGTGTGATGTGTCTGAATTTCTATTTTTGTTTTTTTCACCTCCAGGCTGACTTTCACAGTGTCAGCTACTTCAGCTATTGTTCTTTTTCTTGTTGTACTGTAGATGGCAGTATTGTGCAAATAATGCTAACTGAAGTTTATGCTGCAAATAACTCACAAAGGAAGAAAGTGGTGTGGAAGTTTCCAACATAAAAAAAACTCTTCATGTGGGACACGTAGAACAAAATAAAATGCCAACGTAACCACATACATCGCAGCTGTCACTTAATATTTAATTTAAAAGCTGCAAATCATCTGTTTCATTATAAGATGATTTTCTAGCAGCTGTCAGTCGCACTAAAATTTTGGGATTATTGTAAAGTGTTTAGTTTAACGGAGATTTGTGTTTTTGGGTGCAGTTATCCGAAATGCAGTTAAGATACCAGTGTTCTATAACAAAATGCAATTGTGCAATTTAGTGCGGATATTTGTGAAATGTTTAGCACTATTGCAGTGTTGGATTTCATTGGCTAGCGGAGGGTGGGACTTGTGTAGACTCAGTCTGCATGAACACAAAGTCCTGCTGCTGCTGGGTGAACTTCAGGCGCTCCTTTATCAGTTCTTGCACTCACCTCCTCTGACGGGCTTTTAACATCTGACAATTTTGATAAATAGTTCCTCCTCGACATGGCTCTCCTTCAGAGTAAGTGAAGTCCTCTTAAGTCGTATCACTTTTAAAAGAAAAAAAAAAGACGCTTGCTAAATTGTTCTTTGTGCCATAATTGCATCCAGGTCAGTTGGTAACAAAAGCAGACTCCTTTGCCAGGTTTGCTTTGCCTCAGCTAAATACTTTTCTGATCCTTTTCATTATTCTTCGCTCACAGAGTCTGTAAGCTATTGTATGTAACTGTAAATATCTTGCATCTGTATTTTTCACTGCTTTGGGTTTTGTTTTTGCTGTACACGCATTTTTCCAAACTCAGTTAACCGATGCAAGATTAATGTAATGTGTTTTCATGCTTTGTATTGATAACCAATAATCTTCATCATTTTAACCTTTTTTTTTTATGTTATTTTTACATTTAAAGCCCCTTGTAGGTATGAACATCTAATCTCAAACTACGGCCCTGTACACTTTCTAACTTTTTTTGTTCAAAGTGATCTATTCAATAAAATAGATCAAATGCAATCAGATTGGGCCCGGCATGTTGATACAGTAGACAGGCCATAGTTTGTGACTCTGGGATTTTTTATGGCTTCAACCCAATGTGTTTCCAGTTAACTGCGGTCTGAGTGGAGGAGTCAGCACAATCCAGCAGCCAGTCATTATATGTGTCAGTAATGAGTGTTTCACCACGAGTGGGTCTTTTGGAGTCCGGACGGCGTGGAGGAGAGGGAGCAGGAGGGGGATCCAACCATCATAAACACAGTTTATGATGGTTGGATTCAACTTAATGAACGGCCACAAAACAACAGGGCATGGAAAAGATTAGAAGTGCTGTTTTGACTCAAACAAGTTTGTAAACATGTAGCTACTCATTCATGGCAGAAAATGACAAGGTCACGATAAGGTAGCATATTTATGCTCTGGAAAATCCTAGCAGGCAATCCCCTGAAATTTTGAGCTCAATTTGTCCTCCATAAGGTTAGAGAAGATGCCCACACACTGAGATGTTGCTGATGTTGCTTTGGCAGCTATGACATTTGGGCGCCATCAGATCATCTGAACATGATAAATGACCTCAAAATTACAGACGTCACCTAATTATTCCACGTGAAGATGAAACTCATGTAAATCTGCAGAAAGCAATCCATACACAAATAATCCAGCATGTTTGCAGTGGTTTAGAATGTAATTAGTGAACGTAATCAGTGCTAACACGCTGTTTCCACAGGACGGTCAATAAGCCCTCCAGGCCTCTGAATGTATCTTTGTATGTTTAGCTGAGTCTGCAGCTGCACAGATTTGTCTGATTTATTTTCAACCTGTGACGGGGCTGTGAGCAAACTTCACACTTGAACAACATCGGTGAATCACAGACTTTATGCTGAGTAAACTCATTCTTTATGTTTAAATCATACTTAAAACGTTTTGCTATTTTACCTTCAGGTTGAGATTTTAATGAGTGATTCAACGTGTGTGAGTTTGGGGAGTAAAATGACAGCAGTGATTTTGCACTCTATTTGGCAAATGTCTGTTATTATCACTAGTAATTCAATAGCCCCTTGTTAAGTCTTACTGTTAAAACAGCCTCATGAGTCAACAGCCTGTGTGTGTCTGATGACAGACAATTAAAGGGGCTGAGACGCTTTGTTTTTACCATCTGCAGGAAAGTTTTTGCCCTACTGTAGAAAAGCCAGGAAAGTTTTCCAGGATGAGGTCTCCTCTCTGATGCCAGTGTGTGTGCTGAAGTCATTTTGTCCAGCTTGAAGTGTTATTTAGTTTACTGCATCGAAGAACAGTAGCAGAGGTATTCTCATAGTCTAATGGTGAAGATAGGCAACACAGCTAAAACTGCTAAACCAGTTACTGACTTGTGTTGTATGTCAAACCCTGCATTTAACCATGCATACAAAAAAACAATACAATGCAATAATTGTTGCAAGTTTCCACTCATTACTTGCTCCTCTGGATAACATTCAGTAAATCGAAATACTTTACACAGTTTAAAAATGCTGCTAATGGCTACAGACTCAGTGGAACTCAAATGCAAGGCTTTTGACCAGAGCCAGTTCATACCAGTGTTATCTCACTAACACTGGCTCCCAGTATATTTAAAGTGTTATTCGTCACATTTTGAAAGTGCTTCGTGGTGTAATTTCTTGAGATATTTCTGACCTCTTCGTATAAGCATACCTTAAAATCCCCAGGCTGAGGTCTTGTAACTCTTCCTGAGGCCCAGTTTAAGACAAGAGGGGGCAGAGCTTCTACAGTTAGTGCCTCCGGCCTCTGAAATGACCTGCACAGAGGAAGTCAGTCATCTCATCTTAAAATGGAACCTAATTTTCTCTTACTTTTCTCTTTTTTATCACTGTGATTTTAAAAGCTGACGAGCTCGTGACGATTTATTGAATTGCCACCGTACTTGCATGAAACATTTCAAAGCTTGAAAGAAGATTCACTGCATTACTGAAATAAATCTTGTCTCTATAGTTTATAATAACAAGTACCGGTATGGTGAAAACAAACAGGTGTTTGGTCTGGTTCCGAGACTTTTGACACTTGGGAGTTTGACTGGAGTGCGCCGAATAACAGCCTGGTTCTTCATCCCCTCAGGATCACGGCCTTGCCACAAGCCAGCAGCAGCCGAGATGAATGGGGGCTCTGTATGCTTTGGCTGCATTCATCTCTGCCTGCCTTTCAGTAAACAGACAGGAAATAGCACTGTGGGAAAAATGCATTAGAAATAGCAAATGTGCTGTTGGAAAATCCCTAGAGTGAGCAAACACAAACAGCGAAATGTATTTCCAGAGTGTGTTGTTGACATCTGGTGTGTTTGTCTACTTTTGTCTTCCTTTGCTGAACTTCTGTTTTAAAGCGTTACCTTTTCACCGCGTGCTTGTTTCTTCAGTTTCACTCTATCTCTTTTAAATTGTCCTCTCACTGAACCCACATCTGCTCAGACTCTGAAAGTATTCAGTGTTGGGTCAGTACGAGATCAAAGCTAAACTCTCCAGGCACTTCAACCAATTTGTGGGTGGAAGCGCTTGAAGTGTTTCTCAAGAATTAATCAGTGGAAATATGTGGAGACAAATCTATATAACGCAGCATCAGCAGGCTGTGTGAATTAAAATCATCAGTAGGATAAAACTCTAATCATCCTGGATTTTGTTTTTTTCAGTTCTTGCTGTGCTCTTCCTGCCGGGAGGTAAGAGACTCTTTTATTTTTTAAGGCACAGCATATTATTTTGGATTATTTATATTTACATCTTTGCTGCACTGAATTTGTGACTACATGTGTTTATATTCTGTGTCAGCTTGGGGACAGAGCAGCAGCAGCAGGCTTGGTGTAGTGGTGGAGGCGAAGAACATCACTCTTCCCGCGGGATCTAAGGCCATCCTGCCCTGTCACAGCCCCCGCATGGTGTGGATCCGGGACAGACTGAAGGACCGTCAGAGGGTGGTGCACTGGGACTTGGTCCGCAGCAGCCCGGAAAATTCTGTGGAACGAGTCTTGGACATGTCACCTGGGGCCAACCAGAGGGTCTACAACGCCTTCAACAAGGGCCGCGTTTTCATCCCAGACTCTGCTTTCAGTGATGGCAACTTCTCCCTTACTATCAACAGTGAGACTTTTCATTCTTTTTTGCAGTAGCACTATGAACGTTGTTCGTGCTGAGTTATAATTTTAATATAATTGAGTTAATTTTATTTTAATTATTTTATTTATTTATTTTCAGATGTGGCAGCAACCGACAAAGGAGTCTATACTTGTAATTTACACCATCACTACTGTCAGATTCACCAGTCTATTCAAATCCAGGTTGACGTCACTAAGTCAGGTGAGGCTATCTGATCTAAAATACTATATTTGTTTCTTGAATTGTGATGCAGATGTATTTAATTACACCTAAAAATTTATTACACCTGAATGTGTTTCCAGCCCGTAAAGAGAAGCGGTACTGGGATGGAGAGAAGACTGCGTTTGTGGTCCTGTTGGGCAGCTCAGTGGTATTGCCTTGTGTGAACCGGCGCCCCCTGTGGCGAGAGGGTCTTCAGGAGGACCAGCAGCAGGTGGCCCACTGGGACTTCCAGCCTCCTGGAGTGCGTCCTGATAAGGCCGACCGACTGGTGGACCTGTACGCCTCCGGAGAGCGTAGGGATTACGGACCTCTCTTTGCCCAGAGCAAGATGAGCGTGGCAGAGGATGCTTTTACACTAGGAGACTTCTCACTGTTCATCTCCGACCTGAGGCCCGCTGATAAAGGCCTTTACTCCTGCCACCTGCACCATCACTACTGTGGTCTCCATGAGAGGCGCATCTTCAGACTAACTGTGGGACCTCCACTCATGCCTGATTCCACTCCAGCACCCAGAATTTTCCAGAATGATGAACCAGATCCAAGTAAGTAACAAAAATCCTTAGAAATTTGTTTTCCCACAACATAGTCATGGTAAATGGTTTTTCCTCTATGTTTTTTTTGGCTGAACTTTGTACAGAGAAATAAGACCGCTCCTGGGTTTTTTTGTTATATTTATAGGCATAGTTGGTCAGTTAAATCAGTTCTTCCTCCTGCCAACTTTCTCCTCAGTCCTCCCTGTTTTTGTGTTTGAGCTGAAGAGGGAGGAGTCAAGGAATGCAGGAGCTAGTTGAGAAAGAAAGAAAGAAAGAAATTCTTTCATATACTTGTTTATTTGGTTTTGCAGATTGGATAGAATAGAGATATCTATTTGCATCTTTTGCTTAAAAAGCTGTCTACAGTTTTAAATCGACTGTGATGGAAGTGCTCTCATTTTCCTCAAAAACTGCTTCATTTAGAGCTTTTTTTAAATTTGTTTATCTGGACATATTTTAGCTAGACTGAGCAGAGGAATGGGTTTCAACATCCAGTACTTTTTGGAGTGGATGGTCACATCCTGTGTTTTTGGTTTTTTGTTCCTCATTTTTCCAGAAGTCTAAACCAGGCATCTAGACCTGTTATACTGCTTCTCCACTTTTGTTTTGTTTTTTTTCCAGTCTCTCCTTCGTTTCTCTGGTAGAGGCATATTTATCAGCAGTTACAGGAAGTCTGGCCCATCTGTTCAACATCTGGGCCAGCTGCGACATGAAAGAGCAAAGTAAGGGGAGGGTATGAAAGTACATGTTAGACTATAGATTCTCCTCCCCTTTAAAGAAATGACAGCCAATTTAAAATTTATGCTAGAAAGAAATGCATGTGTGATGCATTTTTTCCTGCCCACTTAGCTCTTATCTGCACCTCGCTGAGCTTGTTAGACAAAAAAAACAACTATTTCGATTCACCCACATTACATTACAAGCATCATGGGAACTTTTCACAGCTTTTCACTTTGTTGTCGTAGTTATTGATGACATGAAACAAAAATAAAAAGAAGTTATTTCTTGTACTCATGAGGGAAGCATTTTGTGAGCTGTCACCAGTTCAAGAGAGATATCAGCCTCTGAAAAGAAGATGATTCCTTTTATTTCATTGACTTGCAAATGATGTGTATCCCACCATTTGAAAAAAAAAAGCCATTAAAGCATACACACTTGATCTGTTAAGAAAATGGTAATAGACCACTGCTACAGCATGGCTGGAGCTCTCCTCTCAGCAGTTGTGCTGTAGAGACAATGACCTTGGGTATGTCTTTGCATTTTCATGCATATTAGGCACATTATGCAATGACAGCTTTGTTTGCCATCAGTGTATACGTAGACCCCCTCAGAGGATGTTGGTAATTAAGTTAGAATAAATATTTTTTCTGTTGACTGGCTGGTTTTTAATGCATAACAACAGATACACCATTGCATGTTTTCCTCATTAGTTCTTTGTTAGTTTAGACTGTTCTTTTGAGCTGCTAATGAAAGACTAGAGATTAAACAATTTTAGTATTTTCTGTGATATAACTGCTTTTTAATTAATGACCAATTACTGGTGTATATTAGCAACACATCTATAAGCGTACTTTTTGCAGAAGTAGTCGTGATATAACACATTGTGGTTTAAAGAAAATATAAACAATTCTCTATTTGTTATGTTTTTGAAATTATGTGTAACTATGTGGATGTATAAATGTGGTGCATTGGGACAGTTCAGGTCACTGTGAAACCCTTTGCTGCCTGCCATGTTTAGAGCGGCCTGCCAGATGGTAGACTTCACTGCTAAACTCTGCTGAAGGTGTCACAGATTTATTTTCCATACATGCTCAAACCAGGCTTCTGTGTTTGTTAGAAGAGCACTTTTAAAATGAAAAAGTAATTCAGACATGCAGACAGACCACATTACAGACTTTGTCTCCCTTCCCTCACACTTCTCCACTTTTCTGGTCAGCCTGTGTTTTTCTGGGGAGAAAAAAATAACAGCTGCATGACATCAGGTCTGGAAGTCATTACTGCCAAACAGCGTCTTGACATTTAACTCTCTGCTCTCCCTGCTCCGGTGTTTTGCTTTTGGGAACAAATGAAAAAGAGCCTCTGGAGGAATAAAAACCTCTACTTGTGTGGAACTACATTTCATTTTGATCCTTGTTTATTGCCATTAGTTTAATCCAATGCAGCAATACAATAAATCTCATTTAAAATATGAGCATGAAATCCCCAGGATACATTGCATTGTTTGGTTTTAGGGTTTATTGAGTTCACTCAATATTTAGCATGTGTAATATTCAGTAATTCTTGGAGAGTTAATTAGGTTATTGAAGAAGGAATTTTATTTTATTCCTGTTCTTTTCTCAGGCGAAGGGGTCGAGCCTACACGTGTGGTTAATGTCTTTATCCCCGAGCATCGAAGTTATTTCATGCAACATTTGGGCTACTTCCTGGCGACATTCTTACTGCTGGGGTTTATCGTCATTGCTCTTATTATGCTGACTCGACGGCGCAAAAAGAGAGGTATTTTTTATTACAACATTCCTGCTTGGTTGTTACTTGTATATTGCAACCTGATTGTGTTTCTTAGCATCATAAAAAGCATATTTATCAGAGTTACATTTTGTTATTATTGTGTGCGCTTGAGATTTTTTTTCTGTTTTTTACAGGGCTGGAGTATGAGCTGGGTCGATCCCAACGGTAATGCATTATCATGTGGTTAATGTTATGCTGCTTTAACTTTACATTAAATCTAACATTAACTTCTTCACAGGGGAACCGCAATCGCTGGAGGTGAAGTAGCTTTAGACTGCACAGAGCTGAATTGCTGTAACCAAGAGCCTTTGAATTCAGGTGCAGTAAACTTCACCCAAACGCATTAAATACGCACACTTCGCTTTCCATCCACAGCTCATTTTCTGTGTGTCTACTTTAATCGACAGAGTACAAAAACAACATAATGAAAGAGCGCGATATGGCTAAAGACTGCAACAAGGGTGAGCAGAAACTGTGTATTTCAGTGAGTAAACACAACAATTAGCATCTTTTCAGCAGATTTTGGTGTTACGATTTCCCTTTCTCACCTCCTCATGCAGAATTTGATGGGAAGATGTGGAAGTGAATGTGATATTTCTGAGACGCTGCTGGCAGGTCCAGGGCAAACACGGGAACAAATACAGGACCATGGAGAAACAGGAGAAAAACAGGAAACCCAGGAGAGGACAGGAGGAATGCTCCCTCTGCTGTAACCCTAGCACACGAAGCTTTTTCAGTAAAGGACATCATCTTTCTTTTTTTTCTTTTTTCTTCTTTTTACCCGATTTAAAAAATAATACACACACACACACACACACACACATACATACAGCATACACACACCATAATAATTATATATATATATATATATATATATATATATATTATTTTATAAAACATATATTATATATATATATATATATATATATATATATATATATTATATTATATATATTACACACACACACATATTTTTTTTCCTTCTCACCAGCTGTTATAACCATATGGTTAAACTTATATTTGATCCTTCCTCTTTGCATTCAGTGTTTTGTTTATATTAAATACAAAGCATTTTCTTATATAATGTTTTTAAAATATGTTTTTTAACTAAATGCATGCTCTTTATTGAGGTATGTTTTATTATGTACTGCACATGCTTATGGGGCTACAAGCTTACGGCTCTTTTTAATTGTTGAAATCTGGATATTTCCTTTTCTTTTTTTTGCATAAATTCTGCTGTAGTGTAAATCACATAAATCATAATGTTTCATAATTCAATTTACTGTATGTTGTAGACATTTTCAAATGTTGTTTGGAAACGAGTATGACATTATTCTAGCTACACAAAAACAGATCTCAACAGTGGTGACAAAGGGACTACCCTGTTTTGTGGATTTTGCTTACAGAAAGGCAGATTAAAATTCTCCTCCCCATAAGTTACCCAAACTGACATACTGTACAGTTACCTGGTTCACTGAAAATTTATCAGGTGAAAAGTAATGTTGTTACTTTTATGACAATGGACTATAGGCTCAGTCTGTGCAAACTCAGGAAAATTCTCGAACCATTCTTGTTTGCATCAAACAACAATAATGTACCCTGGTTTGTAAAACACTGAATTTTCGTGAATGAATCTTCTGGTTAGTGATACAGGAACGTATCTGTTATCAACTGTGTGGCTGTACTTCTGTGAGGAAAAAGAGTGTCTACTATATCAGTAATGCTAAATTGTAAAATGTAGATTAGCTTCTTTTTTTTTTTAACTATTTCTTGCATTTCTCTCTGGCTCACCTGCACACTTTAATGTTCCTGTCCTCTAATAAAGATTTCTTCTGCTCACAACAGCAAACACTACATTTGCTTCAAGTGGCTTCCTTAGTTTCCCAAGAAACCACACGTGAGCCAATTAGTCAATTTATCTTAGACCTTAAATTTTGACATGTCTAACCTAGAAATGTATGCACCCAAACTATGCACGTTACAAGTTCTGCTAACTTGAAAGACTCCTGTACTCTCCTTTTCTCTCACAATTGTTAGTTTTTCAGTAGGTGTGCATCCATCCCTTATCATTCCACATCTGTTCTTGTGAAATCAAAGTTAACAAGAGCTAATCAAAATATTGGATATTTGTCTTGGTATATGAGATGGGGACCACAAGTGGGACACCTGGTCATTCTAGAGTCCAAAGACATTAGCCCACTTAATCTGGTGAACGGATGACCAAGAAACTTGTGATGAATAAGTAAAAGAAAAATCTGCATGAGTATGTTATTTCTACAATATACTAATAAGACAATTTTGGCCTCATATATTTTGGGCTTCCCTTTATTTTCATAAGAATAAAAATAACTGATGAATAAATATCGGATGAATGCTTGAATTTAAGTGACGCTGCTTTACGTAATAAGAACTGCAGTATAAAGTCAATTATAATAACAGGAAAGCAGTATCCATGCTTCATTGGGCCGCTGCACATCCTCCTTTGTTCTATGTCATGACTGTAGGCTACTGTGGAGGAAGCTGTGTGAGTGTGTTGTATAAGGTGGCCTGCGCACACCCCAGATACACCGCTAGATGACAGCACTGTCTAACCAATTAGCTTGTGAAAAATAGCAATATTCCCAACTCCATATCGCAAGGATGTGGACTGTCCCTTCCTGTTTTAGTGCCGAGAGAGCCACCGTACCGACTCACACTGGAGCAGGAATACAGGCACTCATAACGCGATTATGCCTGGATTTTCGCTGTGTTTGTCAAAGGCACGGAGTTGTATTTTCCGTCGCGGGCTATACAGGGTTATATATTAGGGAACGCTGCTATGTTATTCTCCGGGTAGCTGGTAACATAGCAGGCCTGTTTATTGCGCTGCCAACCCTTTTTGCTTTCCCATGATTGTCCTCCCCTTTTCACACTCTCATGGCGGAGACTAAAATAATTTATCACATTGACGAGGAGGAGACTCCTTATCTGGTCAAACTGTCTGTTCCTCCGGAGAAAGTCACATTAGCGGATTTTAAAAATGTCCTCAACAATCGGCCGGTCAACAGCTACAAATTCTTCTTCAAATCCATGGACCAGGATTTTGGGTAAGTGGCTACTGTCGGCGATCATTATTATTATTAGCCTGTTCGTGTGGCTCATTTGCTATTTGCTGCGGTGTGTATTTACACCTTTTATTACAGCTATCATTATAGACAACATCAAACGATCCCGACTGCCAGATTGCTACATGTGCGCAAAACTATATAGAACCGTGTCTGTTTCCATGTCTGCTCTTGGCACCTGCTCATTATTACAGGCTACCCTGTGCTCAGCGGAGGAGACACTTGAGGGTTTGAAGTTGTACCAGATCTGTCCAGAGCCCTAATCACGCAGACCTGCGTGCATTACACAGAGCCAGACCCCTGCTTCTCATATTAACCTCAATATATTAACCATGTGGAATATGACTGTCAGAGCAATGCTGGCGAGGTCTCAATATTCAACTTCTCAGATTTCGTAATGGTCTATTTCCCAGTACCTGGTTATAATTTTAGCAGGGTTCGAAATAACCATTAAAAATATTTATTTATTAATGAATTATATGGTTGTATTTGTTTACTAACACATATTGTGCACTGCAGGTGGATCCCAAGGCAATTTGGGAACCACATGGCAGTGATGGTGACTGTGCATCATCTTATCACCTTTCTGATTAATTCTTCTAACAGCATTCAGTCCTTAAAGTAGTTGTCTCGCTAAATTTTCTGATCAGCATTGTAATATATTGTGTTATTACAGAGCTCCTAAGGAAAACATCAAAGTTAAATAATGCGTGCTGGTGGTGCAGTTGTCTGCCATCTAGTTATATCCTACAATTCACTGGCTTTTATCATTTAATGTTATTATGAGAGAGACATGGGTAATTTAATTTACTAATGGTAATTATGACGTAGATTGTCTGTAGAAGCAAAATAGGGGGTGTTGATGGGGACAGCATGCTGGGTAAAATAACGGTGTACGCAAAAGATTTAAATGTGAATATTTTGTTATTTATCCTACCCTAAAAATGTAGTTACCTTCACTTCCTTCACTGAATGTCAGAACAGAAATATTTCCTCCATGTTTTAGTCTTGTCTTTCTTTTTTTTTCTGCCCCTCTTTTTGTCAACCCATCCTGGTTTTCAGGCGTTACACGAGGTCTACAAAGCTCTCCAGTTCTCTCGGTCAGCAAGATCAACTTGTGTCAGGCCTCTGCTGAGGATGACATATTTGTGTCAGTGACTGTTCTCATTCCAATCTGAGGAGTCATACACGGGCCTACGTACATTTGTATCTAGCAGCGTAATCGCAAAAATGATTTGAGGAAATGCAGAGGCAGGCAGTGTCTACAGAGCCGAACGTCATGCATTTCCACTGCAGCCTGACCTTGTGAGGGAAACTGGCTCTTCCTGGTTGCAGGCTAGTCTTGGTGCGCCGCTTTGTCCCCAGGCCTGGCTTCCTGCCTGTCTTGCGCTGCAGGCCGGGCTGCTCACTGGGCCTCAGGTGATCGACAAGCAGATTATGGAAACAAACAAAGCGTGTTTGCTCTCTCCACATAGAGACATGACTCCAAGTTGCTGAACTCACAGCCTCATAGATTCTTTTCCCGCATATGCATTACAAAGCATAAAGCATACAGTCATATTACACTGTGAACTGGACAGGGTCGAGTTCCATGTAGATATTACAAAGGCATTTCTACAAGCATTCCTGCCTTTGAGTTACGCTTGGATATTCAGGCTCTGTGAGTCCAGTGCCGTATGGTACTGGCACAGTATGGAAGCAAACTCAGTCAAAGGCACAGAGGAAAGCAGCGCTTTGTGGTAGCCGTGCTGGCTGCACTGCATACACACAGACAGTATGGCTGCTGGAGAATTAGCAAGGGAGGAATAAGACTGCTGAGCAGAGAGGGAAAACATCAAATCCCTTGCAGTTATAGACAGTGTTTGAAATGTAAATGAGCAGTCAGTGCAAGGTTCTCTGTAGTAGACCCCCTGGTGTGCAGGGGAGAAAACTGCCATTTTCTTATGGGATTGCTGAACTACATTTGTGTTGGCCATATCAGCTCTTTAAGGAATGGCCACAAAATTTGATAAACGGTTTGCGCCCCGGCCGCTTCGGCTTACCGCAGTGAACGTGCCGTTTCAGGTCCCTTTGGAATTGCATGGAAAACATGTAACTAGGGGATGTGGCATTTCCATCCACAGAACAGAGCACAGCAAATTAAGCGATGAACATTTCGTGTACACATTTCATACTTCAGTTGTTTTGTTTGTTTGTTTTTTTTGTCAGTAATATTCATTCGCTCATCCATATTCATAAGACAGGAAGCTAATTGGCTGGGTTGTTTTGAAGCAACCCACTTGGTTTTTTTGGAGACTTCAAGGTGATGATATGGCGTTTTGTCATTGCCACTGGTGGTGAGTGGGTTTGAAACCTCACTATAATGCAAGTCACAGAGGCGCTCTGGAGCTGAGGAAGCAGCCAAGCTGAAGGTCTGAAAGAAACAGTCTTGTTTGTGCCTCAGAAAATAGGGGGCTGGTAAGGGGATCTTTCTCCTGCTGTAGTTAGAGGACAAAAATCTGCAGCTTTTTGCACAAACGCACTCCCGTCAC